ACTGATGTTAGAGTAGAGAAACTTTGGACTGCAGCTGCCTGGAGTGTGCATGTGCCACTTCACTCCTCCGTGGGGGGTTCCTCTGAACATGTCCACTCTGAGACCTGGACTCAGAAACCTTCAGGTTCAGAGAGGATCAGGACGTTGTCTGTAAATGAACGTTTCACGTCGTGTAAACGAGGCTCAGACTGGCTGCCCTGCCTGTCAGTCAAGAGACACATGTCAGTGGTGATGATGGACTGATGTCTAGTTTTAGTCTACCCAGAATACCTTGGGAGATCCACCAGTAGATCTCCATCGACATATTGGACACCCCTGCTATAAGACGTGATGGTGATCAATAATGATAACAATCCAATGATCAGTGATCAGTGTTTGCCAGGTAATGAAGGATGACATTTTCAGATCAGACAGATGGAGTTCTGTGATGAGGACAATAACTGAGAAGTTCTGTTCATGGGTGAGGAAGGAATAGAACGTGAGATCAACAGATGAGTCTGTGCAGCTTCTGCAGTATTGTGAACTTTGTTCCGGTCCATTTTAGTGAAGAGGGAGCTGAGCTGCAAGGAGAAGCTCTCAGTTTGCTGGTCAGTCTACATTCCTTCCCTCATCTCTGGTAAGGAAGGGCGCCTACCAAGGAAGGGAGGAGACCCCGGGGAAGACCCATGACACGCTGGAGAGACTATGTCTCTCAGCTGTGACAGTACAGTCTTCCCAGAAGAGCTGGAACAGAAAAGACATGTCTGGACCTCCCTGCTCAAGATGCTGCCCCCAGAGACCTGAGTCTAGAACAAGCCAAAGATGATGGCTGGATGGATGGATGGATGGATGGATGGATGGATGCTAAAAGAAATACAGACAGTGACACTAAAGTCCAGGTGACAAACTGTTTAAAGTGAGTTTGTATTTGACAGACGAGTGAGCTGGTAGGTTCATCATAGATTCATCCTCACCAACAACTAGCCAAACACAGGAGGCACTTTAAGCAGCACTTCAGTCACTCGAGGGTCTAATGAACACGGTGGTACACACGACCCGTTCAGCACTGCATGCCAAACACTACAAACACACATTCAGACACGCGGCGTTCTGTAATCACGCCTGCAGACACACACGGTCTGGGGACAGATCACATCAGTGATGTTGCTGCTGCCGTTATTAGGTTTAGTGGAAATGAAGTTTCTACTGCAGCTGCTGATGAAACGATTGGTGTGGAGGACTGTCTGGGTGCGTCTGGACGTCGGCTTGTGCAGCGAGACGATATTGGCTGACCTGCCCTGAGATAAAGGCTTTTCTCTGAAGGAGCACAAGTCGACAGTGGTTGGCCTGACAGAGCTCAGTCTGCAGTCTGTTATCTCTGAAGGCGTCTGAAGATCAGCATTTAATGTTAGCTTGTACCAGAAATGGTGGACATCTCCGAGCGTTGAGGTTCAGTGATTTCATAAATTCATAAGAAACTCAGAAAACAAAACCCAAGCAAGCTGCATGGTTTCAGTATTGTGTAATATCAGCCTGATACTGTCGAGTAAATCTGACACTGATGACTGGAGCAAAGAGCACGCACGTTAAAAACCAGGAAAACGTCTTGCACACTGCTGGTGCCACGTCAGAAGGGTCTGAGTAGGTCTAACCAGAATGGCTAGGAAGGTCAAGAAACAGTAAACCTGTAGTCCAGCTGACGGCAGGCACTGAGACGTGTTTCAGGATGGAACAGGGTCCTGTAGAGTCCAACAGCATCTGGAAGGCAGGCACAAACACCACGAGGCTGGTAGTACTTGGTGCATGATACTACAGTCTTCCCTTGGCATGGTGGGACTTGGACAACCTAAACCTTTACAGTGTGTGTGGGTGTCCTGACACGCCCGATGATTCCAACATGGACCACCGGGACATCTGTACACTCTGTGTGTGCACAACAAGGCCACCCAACTCTAGACCATGGGTGTCCAGTCCTGGTCCAGGAGGGCCGCTATCCTGCAGGTGTTACCAGTTTCCCTGCTCCAACACTCCTGATTCAGTGGCTCAATCATCTCTTCCTGTTCTGCAGAAGCCTGTTCATCAGGTGTGTTGGAGCAGAGGAACATCTAAAACATGCTGGAAGGTGGCCTTTGAGGACCAGGACTGTACACCCAACTTTAGGTAGTTTGATTAGAACCAAGGATTCAGGGTTCTTTATTTGTCATTCGCACCACATGTGGTACATGTGGTGGAACAAAATTGTGTACACAGGGTCCTGCATCTTCTAGGCATCCTCTTACCTTCCGTGTCTGTGGGTACTACAGGTCAGAGGTGGGTGGTAAATGACTTTCATGTGAAACTGACCATCAGACTCTGGTCGATCACACTAAACTCCACTCATGAAGACTACTTGGGCCACTTCCAGACCTGCCACGTTCTTTCAAGCCACTCTATCTTCTAGTCTGAGTGTGGACCAAGTTCCATTTCAACTGAAGCTGGATTTTCCTGTCAGTGCTTTGTGCTGCCCCACCTTCTGGTTGGAAGCATCATCATTTTACCCTAAACTAACACAAGAAGTCTTTTCATCATTAACAAAGAAGGTCCAATCAGGCTTGAAACACAGCAGTGAAAGCTGCTTATGGAACAGATCTGATTGGCAGGCCGCAGACTGATGAAGTCCTCTGGATGGAAGATGAAACATTTCTCCTTTAAAGAAACTGGTCCAGATGCCATGCTTTAACCTTTGTTGTTATCTATCTGGATGATTGAGCCTACAAATCTTTTTCTTCTCATCATTCTTTTAGCTGGAAGAAAAACTGTGTACCTCTTCCAAACAGGGTGTCACCAGACCTGTGTCAGGGAGGTTTTGGTCAAAGGCTATGGATGTTTTTCTTTCTATGGCTGACGACAAGAAGCCCAAAACAAGCCATCTCCTAAAACACTGTCTTATCTCTGCCCATGGACCATATGTTTGTGCTGTGTAAGAAGACTGCAGCTGGCGTCAAGGACTCCTCCTGAACTCTGAGCTGATAAAGTGAGCAGATGACGCCGCTCGTGGCTTTCTGCTGTGACTGGTTTTCATACGTGTACATCTCTGTATGATTATACGTGTCGTACATGTAACCTGTCCTGGAATCTGACCTCGCAGGTTTTAAAAAGCAGATAGAATCTTCACCTGGTGTGAGAGTGGTTCTTTTGAGTAAACGACATCCGAGAATGAAAGAATATTTCAAAGAACTTGTTTTGAGATGTTTCACCAACACGGACATTAAATGTTACCAGTCAGAGTTAATTCATCACCTGGGCCAAACACAAACACACCCTACGTCAGGGGGCGTTGATCTCGATCTACTGGTGGACCTCTAAGGTATTCTGGGTAGATGTCATTAAAACTAGACATCAGCTAATCTTCCATCTCTGACATGTGTCTCTTGACTGACAGGCAGGGCAGCCAGTCTGAGCCTCGTTTACACGACGTGAAACGTTCATTTACAGACAACGTCCTGATCCTCTCTGAACCTGAAGGTTTCTGAGTCCAGGTCTCAGAGTGGACATGTTCAGAGGAACCCCCCACGGAGGACTGAAGTGGCACATGAACACTCCAGGCAGCTGCAGTCCAAAGTTTCTCTACTCTAACATCAGTTATAATAAATAACAACAGTTATAATAAATAACAACAGTTATAATAAATAACAACAGTTATAATAAATAACATCAGTTATAATAAATAACAACAGTAATAATAAATAACAACAGTAATAATAAATAACATCAGTTATAATAAATAACAACAGTTATAATAAATAACATCAGTTATAATAAATAACAACAGTTATAATAAATAACAACAGTTATAATAAATAACAACAGTAATAATAAATATAACAAGTTATAATAAATAACAACAGTTATAATAAATAACAACAGTAATAATAAATATAACAAGTTATAATAAATAACAACAGTAATAATAAATAACAACAGTTATAATAAATAACAACAGTTATAATAAATAACAACAGTTATAATAAATAACATCAGTTATAATAAATAACAACAGTTATAATAAATAACAACAGTTATAATAAATAACAACAGTTATAATAAATAACAACAGTTATAATAAATAACAACAGTTATAATAAATAACAACAGTTATAATAAATAACAACAGTTATAA